AAATACACCTTTTTATGCATAATTTTAAAAGACCAAAATTATATGTATGTAAATATGAAAGTCTTGGTGTGAGATATGTAAATACATAAAAATTATGCGCTACTTAATTTGAAGTGGTATCGTTGCATCATCACTATTTGCTTTTGACGTTTACTTGCATTATTGAAACCTGACGTCGTGTTGCGTCCCGAGCTTTCCAACTTTAGATTGTCAACTCTCCATTGAAATTTAAACTTTTGGGGCTTTTACATACATACCCCACAATTTTTATGTATTTACATATCTAGTATCAAAATTTTATTTTTTACTCCACAAAATTTTTCATGTCACATTGAAAGCACCACTATTTTAACTTCTAAAAAATGAATGCACCTTTTTATACATAAGGTGGCATACATGTAAAAATTGATGTTTAGGTGTTAAATATGTAAATGCATAAGATTTGAGTGATATATATGTAAATCTTTCTAAACTTTTTTTCGATCTTGCTTTTCTTCTGATTATGAGATTTTTTTACTTTCTCAGGTTCTGTTTAATGCTGTCCTAGAGAACGGTTGCAGCGAACTTGGTGCACGCATGTCGGCCATGGACAGCTCCAGCAAGAATGCTGGCGAAATGCTTGACCGCCTTACTCTCACATACAACAGGTCTCTCATTCCTCTTTCCTCTCTTACTTGAAGCTGCTGATTTTGAAGAAGAATAAACCTGCCGCATGCATTCATTTAATATTCATTAAATTTTTTTTATTTGAAAAAATTGGGAGCGGTAGCTCAATTTTATATTAATGAGGAAAAATAATTATAGTAGTGTTTTTGATGCGATATTAAATATTTGAGTGCTATTTATGTAAATATGAAAATGTCGAAGAATTGTATCCAAGCAACATAAATAGAAGAAGAAGACCATTTGTTATGAATACAATACCTGCTCTCTAGACATCATCATCATTAAAATAATATAACAATTGGAAGGGATGACTAACGTCAATCAATCGTAGGTGTATTTGAAGACTATCATTATATGCTTGAAAATATAAATATGGACACATTTGAAACATCATTATAGTATCTAATTTCGAAATTGTGATTCATTTGTTAAAAAAATAGATATTATAAAAAAGTCAAATAAAATTGAGCAAAAAAGGAAAATAAAATTAATATCAAGTAGCTATCAAGCAATTCAAGTAATAATTTTAAAATAAAAGTGAAGAGATTACTTAATTTATATGTAATACATTTTTAAAATTTAGATTTATTATTTGGGGCACATGTGTCAAATGAGTGTTCATTATGTTTTTTTGAGGAAAGTGCCAATATAGTCTTTTGTGAAGAATCCAACTTTGGTCTCTTCTTTTGGTCCTTACTCCTCACTATTTTGATGGTTAATTTTGAAATTTTACGAGTAATTTTATGGCGAGTTTCCGAACGTCAGCCTGCGATTCATTATTGTGTTGTAATGGCATCTAAAGTTTTTCAGCCAATCTCACAAATACCAATCAAAACCCTGTACTCGC